TTTAATATTTGACATAGTTTTATTTTCTATCTTTTATACATTCCTCACTTAATATTAAACTGGTTATATTTTAATAATAATAATAAAATATAATATTGATGATATGCTATAAAATGTCTGCTGATAAATTTTAAAATATTTTTTCTTTTAATATTAAATTTCTATATAAATTTTCTCAAAATAATTTTTATATACATATACATATATATACATATATATTTTTTTTACATACTTTTACGTATTTCTTTTTAATTTTAAAATTTATTTATATTTTATTTTATTTGAAGAATTTAAATGTATTAAATATTATTATCATTTTCTTTTTTTTTATGTAATTTTAATATTATAATAATTAGAAATTTAATTTGATATATGTTTGTATATTATATAATATAGTTTTTTTTAATTAGCTGCCTGTTAAGTCTTATAATAAGTTCAATAATAAGTTAAATTTTTATATTAAATAGTTGATGTGTTTTTTTTTCTATTTAATATTCAACAAGAATTAAAATGTAATGTGACTTACATAAATGTACATTATAAATTAATATAATTACATAATATGTACCTATATATAGAAACACAAAAAAAATAATGAAATATTTTTAAATTTGAAAATTATTTAACTAAATTTTTTGGCAGACAAAATTTATTCAAATTGATTTTGTTCCATTCAAGAATAAAGAAATGGACAAATAGTACCACAGAACACCTTTTAAGGGAATATGAATAATAAAATATTGAAGAGGAGAAATTTATGCACTTATATATATAAATGATTTTAGCGTATAACACTTTTAGTATTATAAAACATGAAAATGGATATGAATAAATTGTCACAGAACATTTTAATTTAATAAAATAAAAATAGGAAAGAGTATTTTATATTAAGTGTTATATATTAAAAGAAAATATAAAAAAAATATATATATTTTTTTAACTATATAAAATACTTTTTCTTTTTTAATTTTTTTGGTTTGTCATTAGTAATTGTCTTTTCACAATTCTTTCATATTATATAAGTAAATTTTATTTATAAAAATTTGGAAAAAAAGGAAAATAATAATTGTACATGTGTATGTGTATGCATTTATATTTCATATACTAAAAGAGGTAAAATTTTTGTTCTGATAGTTTTTTTTCCAATTTTTCAATTAAATTTCAATATATAATTATTATATTGCAATTTGTATTTTATGTTAGAATAAATATAAATACATATATATGTATATATATTACACATATAATATACATGTATATATATTATATATACATATATATATATATTATATATATATATATATATGCATATATGTATATATATAAATATATATAAATATATATATATATATACGTACATTTATATACATATATGCATATGTATATATATGTATATATGTACATATAAGATATATGCATCTGTTTATTTTTTTATTTTAATTGAGTTCGTGTTGGTATAATAGTTTTTTAATAACTATAATTCTACAGTATATACATATATATACTAAATATATATTCATATATACGGATATATTATAAACGTTTAAAAACACATACAATATAATCATAATATTATTATATAATAATTATTATTCAAATAAAATAATTTTATTAGTTAAGTAAAGTATATATAGTTTAAATATATATATATTTTTTTAAATTTTTAATGTATGTATAAATTATTATTATTTTTTTTTCTTAAATACATTCATAAGTTTTGCATTTTGCATGCTAATTATCCTATTATACAATATTTATTTAAATAAATAAACTCTTATAATTATTTTTATATGTATGTACTTATTAAAAAATAATTATATAATGAGTATATAAGTATGTGTATATCTTCAACATATATAATCTGATATATTTATAAGCATTTATAATGATAATTACATGTATTTGTTGAAAATGTTTGTTTCTATACAAAGAAGTGATTTTTATAAATTCAAGTTTTATTATTGTAAATGATTTTTTTTAGTATTGTTTTTATTGTAAACGTATACAATTTACATAAATAAATAATTTGATTAAAGCAAAAAAGAAAGGAAAAATAAAGTTATACAAAAAAAAAATTTGTTTGTCAAGGACTGGTTTAAGCAATATTCGTCTGTTGAAAATATGCGCATACAACTTAAAATTGTATAATAAAGTATTTAATTAAATATATTACAGGAGTCAGGCAAGACGTAACCGTTTTTGCAATTTCTAAAATTATATATACAAAGCAATGAATTTATGATTACACTTTTCAATATATTCAAGAATATTTTAATTTTCATAATTTTAGCAACACGCCGTATTAACTTATTCAACAGACGCTATTTTAGAATAAATTTAAAGAAAACAAAAGTATAACATTTTTCAATAACATAAATAATTATCTACAAATCAATTCATTTAAATTTAGATATATACATATATATATATATTTATTTTTACATTTACTAATATTGAATAAGCGTTTTATAATTATGATTTCCTATTTATTGTGTCTTTTTGTATGTCAGTTTGTTGTCAGTTCTTAATATTTTTAATTATTTTGTAATAATAAGTATTATTGTCATATTACATGCTCATGACATGACATTTATGACCTATGGTACATGACATTGTATAATATGCGTATATATACATAAGTATATTATTTAAAATATTTTATGCAAATAAATTTATTTTATAATATAGTAGTATATATCTATGTAGAAATTGAAACAAAAATTTTTTGACAAATTTTATTTTAAATTCTTATATATAATTTATATTTTTGTTATATTTTTGAAAATTATGTTTTTGTATTATACATATTATATATTTTTGAATATATATATATAATATTATGTAAGTAATTTTATTGTCAATGGTCAAGTTTGCATTGTAAATATTACATACTACCTCTATATTTTTTATGCCATAAATACAATGTATTTAAGTATATTATGCATATATTATTCAAAATTAATTGAAATTAATGTACATATATTTAAAGAATTTAAAGTATATTAAAGAATGATTTTGGTCTAGAACATTTTAAGTAAATTTAAAACTTGAATTCTTTTTCTTAAAACAATAAAACTGTAATTTAAATTGGATATTGTTCATTGGTTTCATTGTAAAATTTAGGATTTACATAAAGTTTTAAATTAATTTTAAGAAAGTATGGACGTGCAATAATTGAAATGCTTATTTATGCAGATATTGCATAAGTAAGAGCGCTAACTTCATTAATATTAAAGAAACTCACAAATATTGTAACTAAATGAAATTTTATCTTCACGTTGTGTAGTGAAGATCAGGTTCAATTTTGAAATCAAGTAAAAGGATGTCTAGAAAAGCAAGTATAGTAGAGTAATATGACATATTGAGCATATTTATTTTTAATATTATGAAGGTCAATATATTGACACACAAAATATAATTTTTTAATATCGAATAAAATAAAATATCATTAAATGATCCTTTTTATTTAAATCTTTTTTTTTTGTATATTTATATTATTAATAATTAATAATAATTTTTGTAATTTTATTGTCTTTATTGTCATATTGAAAACTTACGATATACGAGCACTTACGAAATCTCTGTATATTGTAGTAGTATGTATATGCATTAGACTTTAATTGTGAACAAATTTCTCTCATCATATACCTTATAGGTTCATTTAAAATATAAATATTTTGGATTTTGTTCATTAAATTTGTTTTTTTTAATTTTAATTTTTTGTTCTTTTTTTTTAGGTAATGATATTAAAAACAAAATCACATTGAATTTTTATTTAAATTTGTAATTATATTTTGAGTAAATTTAATTTATTTCAATCTTATGTACATTTTATAATTTTAATTGTAAAATTCATATTGTCAGGAAATAATAAGAGTATTTCTTTTTTATTCTTTGTGTTACACTATAATATTTTATATTCATGAGTTTGTTATTATATAAATTCTAACTGGAAAATTTAATTACAAAAAAAAAAATTTGGTTTGATATTTAACCCATTTATGAATATGTATTCAAAATTAATCGAACTATGAGAAAAAAAATTTGCTTTGAAGATTACATAGGGAAATCGGCTTAGAAATTGGATTTATGTAGTTGTCAGGTTCATCATTAGTATATCAGAAATAAATAGATTAAAGTGTTTAAAACAATAACAATGAATAATAATTTACGCGAATTTTTAATATAGTACAGAATTGAAAAATTTCAGAAAACGTAGCTTAGTTTTGAGTTTGAAACGTAAATTAAATCATTTTCGATTACATTTCATGATTTTTAGATTTGACTAAGGCTAAGCTTTTATTATAACCAGTTCGGTTCAACTCATAATAATAAACATTTGCAAAATGATAACTAATGTCAAACATAGCTTATAATAGACATTATGAAAAAAACATAAAACGATGGCAGGTCTGTTACTTTTTTTTAACATAACAATAATTTATAATTTAGTTTATTCATATATTATCCCCGGGATTATCATTAATTTTGTATTCTTTTAAATTGGATATTAATGTACTTGAATATATGTACGTAATAATGTGCATTATGATTTCATATTGCAGAAATGCTATGGTTTACATAATATTTATGTATGCATGCATGTATGCACATATTATGTTGTTTAGTGTTTTTTATTTTGAAATTTCTATATTTAAAACTGGTTCAGCCAATTAATTAATTTAAGTGTGTTTACTTCTTTATTATATTTTTTATTTTTTTTTAATTTATATACTTTAAATTTAATTAGGTATTATTTTTTTAATTTAAAAATTTATTTATAACAGCTTTTGTTTTTGATTTTTTTTTTTGTGTTTTAATAATAGTTTTATATATGTATATTAGTTATTTAATAATAGTATATATAATTTATATATAATAATAAATATAATTAAATTTTTTTTTTCTTTTTTAATTTATTTTAATATCAAATTTTATAATTTTTCATTTTTCCATTTAATTTTCATTTTATTAATTTTTATTGACTTTTGATAATAATTGATTATTGGTAATTTGATTTCCAAATAAGTTTTTATATTTATAATTTTATGTATGTTGCATCTACTTAGTGTTGAATCTGAAAATAATAAAATATTAATTGTTATATATTTTATTATATCATAAGTTATATAATAATAATTATATGTAATTAGAAATATAAAATTTGGAAATATTTATTATAAAAATATAGCTGGTATTTTGTTAGAATTTTTTATCTTAAAATGTAAATTTTAAGACAAACTTTCGCGAATTGTTTTTCTAGGTACGGGATTTAAAATATTGTATTAATATAAAATTTTATATATAATGTAAAAATTGTGTGTGTGTGCTTATTTATCCTCATAGCGCTATTGCATTCCGAAATATAGTAATCGCTCAAAAATGAGAAATTTTTATATTTTAAGAAAAAGTGCTGTAATATTATTATTTACCAATATCTATGAATATGTCTGTATATCGGTTATATAAAACAGAAAGTTTACTTTGACTAAATCAGTTTTAAAACAGTTTCATCAAGTAAGGAGTTCTTATTCTAAAAACTGTTCTTATTCTAAATTCTATAAGTGAGCTACTTAATCACTCATCAAAATACGTACTGTCATATTTTATAAATATAGCGTTTGTTGTTAAATTAATATTCCCATTCGATATAAGAATTTAAAATCTTGCTTCACTTACTTATATGTATATCGTATACTTTTTAATGAAGCTTTTTCTATAATACAAGAATAGTTTTATTATATTCATCATTACTTATAGAAAACAACATATATATATGTATGTGCATCCATAATAATAAAAGTGATAAGATTATCCTCTTTATATGATGAAGTGGAATAATAAAGTGATTTTTTAAAGCTATCCAATGTATTATTTCTTTAATATTTCTACAATATAATATAAACATATTGTGGTGACAATATTGGAAAACATATGGTGAATCAATAGCATATTAAATTGAGATGAAAAAAAAAAGAATGTACTTTGAATTGACTTGGCAAATATTGGAAAACCCATAAAGAATTCTTCTTTATTCAATGAAAAAGTGTAGTTTCCATATATGTATATAGTTTTTAAAGTTTATATACAATATTTCAATATAAATCATACTTTTTTTGACACACAGATGTATAACTTCAGTTCCATATCACTTGAATGGAATTTGACTTGACTTTTATTTTCGTGTTATATAATATGTTCTATTTATTGCATTAGGCAATAAATTCATAAAATTTAAAGATTACATTTTATATTGCAATTATAATAATTACATATTATATTGCAAATTTTTATAATAATTATGTAACAGAAGGGTTCTTAATAAAGATAACTTTGAAATTTCATACTAGAAACAATTTAAAAAATAATCTTCTGCTAATTTTTACAATTTCGAAATTAAATTCTTATCACAAAAATATCTAAACTAAAATCTATTATGCCAGATTTGTCACTGAAAAATCATGTATCGCAACAGTTATCATGAGTTCTCGCCTATATCCTCCCACCTAGTTAACGCAATAACTAACGAAACTGAATTATGATTCTATTATAATGATATCATTCAAAAGTCCTTTACGGCATTTGGAGGTGAAAAGGAAAAAAGCAAAAATTACAGGTAGATTTTTTGTATCACCGAATTTCGGCACAAAAAACTTTGTTCATTTGAGAATAATCCCCACTATTTGTGTCCCTTTTCGTATTTTTGTGTACATAATATTATGTACACATATTATATAAATTTTTACATATATTTATATCGAATTTATATTGAGTATTTTAATTAATTAATTTTCTGCGTTAATTCTTTGTTAATTCAAAAAAAAAAAATACTTTTTGTAAAGCTTATTTACTTTTTCTTTCTTTATAAAAAGCAATATATTTATTCTTTTTCAGCCTACACAATAAATTTTTAAATGTCTATAAAATTGGCAAAGTATTTTATGGATTTTTGATTGAAAAAAGAAAAAGCCAAACACGAAGTAAAAAAAATGTTTAAGAGATTATTAAAATTAATTTCTGAACGTTTTATTTTTTTCATAAATACCATGTTGAGCATCTGCTGTTTCATTTCGCATATTTAAAATAAATCAGAATTTACGACAAAATATTTAACGTTACATAAGTATATAAAGGTATAAAATTCTTGTGTATTATGAAAATAAGATAATTATTAAAAAATTATATGAGAGGTTAAAGCGAACTCTTTAGTAGCTTTGAATGGTTTAAGGTAGGTAGTGAAATATATAGTTGAATTTATTTATTCTACGGACGGCGAACCGTTTATCAAATATCCATCTTGACAGTTACATTTCAATGTTTTGCATACATAAGCATAAAATCAATCGATTTTGGGATGAATATAGTAATGATAGAAAATCGATAACTTGCAACGTGACAACGTCATTTAAGATTATTGACTTTGATCCTTTGATCATCGATTCTTTTACTTTTCATGTTTTCATATTACATATAAGAATTGTACATGTGTATGTGAATTTTGTTTTTCTATATGTTTAACCCTAATCTGTTGCTCGGGTCACCCATTCACCTATTTTATAAAAGTAAATTTTTTGCTTCAACAAAATTCTTTCTATTTATTTACAAGGTGAGAAAATTTTAAAAAAATATTGCCAGTTGAAAGTTTGAAATAAAATTTATTGCTAATTCGAAAGATTACGTGGCGGGTATTCTCGTGCAATTATCGTTGAGATGCTTTTCAATTTGATTTTTCTAAAACTATTGGAAAAATGATTGTTAAAAAATCTAGCCTGGAGGTTCGTCTGATAAATGGAAGAATTTGGAAATAAATTCACGATATTACAATGCAAATGTGTACTGGACTCTTAATTTTATCATTCTTATTCATATAGCAATATCAATAGAGATGTTAAATTTATTAGCTTCCAGAACTAGACCGGACTTTTATAATTTGATGATAAAAATGACAGAAACGAGCGTAGAACATACGACAAGCTTGCCTTTTTTTAAGCCTTATAAGTATGTTCAGTTTTTGAAATGTATATGAAACATGTTTGTAGTAAGCATAAAATTGAAACACATTACTGCATTAATTGCGATTCGTAAATGTTATATATAATTTACTTAAACATTTAAATGAATACAATGAAAAATAAAAACACAAAGAAAGTGAAAAAAAAGTTGGTGATTTTTTACCCATGAATATTATGTGTGATTATTTTTGAATAGCGTATGAGGGTTAAAATTTTATTATAGTTGAATATTGTATATAATCTGCAATATGACCGTATATATTTTAATGTTATATATATTATTCAGTTATTATGATGTTATTATTATGAAATCAAATTGAACTTATATAGGTATACATATTTATACATCCACACAAAAACGCAATCCTACATGCGAGTAATATAAGTACCTTATTTATGAACGGGCATCAAAGAGAATAAAATAAAAGTTTTGTAAGATTTTTTGGTTGTAAACGTTGTTATTAGTTCTAATATTATATAATGTATGGATTATAATAATAACCATTTATAAAAGTGCATATACACATAATATATTCATAATATTATAATGGTTAAATATTTTTGTATGTATATTGACTTGTATATATTTATATATATATCCAAAATTATGTAGGTGAGGATCAAAATCAGATTAGAAATTATTATTTTAATATGAATATTGTGTACGTTGTAATTCCATACTAGAGTGCATACATACATAAATATATATATATACTCATATATTTTTTGGAAAATGAAATAAAATATAAAATTTTTGCTTTTACAATTATTTTTTTTTTCTTAGTACTATCCTATATTCACTAAAATGTTTTAAGGATTTTATTGTTTTGAATTGCTTTTGTGTATTATTATACATAATTAAATGTACGTATACTAATACTGGAGTACTTGGATTTATGTACGTAATATGTATATTGGGAAGTCATAGCATAACATGTCAAAATAGCTACTTCATAAAAATTGATTAAGGTATGTTGAGCGGATTATCAAATTAAATGAAAAATTATCCTAGCATCCAAGTACAAATGTATGTCCTTCTCATTTTCTTATAGATATGCAGTTCAATACAACTTGAACTTATTACGCAATACGTAACAGGAAAAATTTTTTATTCTGATATAAAATTATTTACCGGCAATAAAACACATTTTAACAATAAGTAAAAGTTTTACAATTGAATACAAAAAATTGCATATATTTAGGTGCATTTTGTAAAAAATTGTACAAATTGAAATAAATTGAATTTTTTTATATCGCATTATATGACATTAAATGTAAAGCATTTCAAAGTTTTAAAAAATTTCAAATAAAATTTTATTTTCATTTTCAAGTTCATTGCTCATTTTTTATTTGTACTGGAGGATTTAATTTTTATAATGTCTTAAAATATAATTTTCTAGTAGTTAAACCTGTATAACAATTATTGTTTGAACTGCTACTGGTATTATTAAGAATTTCTAATTAAAATAAAATTTATCGTCTTTCTTTTATGGGCAATGAATAAATACGACTTCAATTTTGTATGCTAGGACAGAGTTTAATTATTTTTAAATTTATTATCGGATTTGTAAAATTTATATAAAATTTTAAGATAGCGTCGTCAATGCCATTGTGTTTCATATATATGGTCATGTTTCATATATATATCAGTAAGGTGAATCAGTATAATTAATGCTCTTCGCAAAAACTTTTAAATTACAATGTTCGTAGAAATTATCAAAAATATTCTTTAAGAATAAAAAAAATATAAGATATTTAATAAAATCGTAGTTATTATTTTTAAATAAAATTTCCATGAAAATCTTATTAATGATTTTTTTTTGTTCTGCCGCCCTGCCCTGAATTTTTAAATCGAATCGATTCCATTTTCACTATGAATTTAATTTTTATTTTATAATAAGAGTCTGTAAAATTAATTGTATTTTTAAAATTAAATCTTTTTATATTCTACATTTATAATGTTTAAGTACATTTGAATGGGTGTCGGTACGAATAACAATAATATTGCTCTTGAAAAGTTATATAACAAAGAAATTGTTCAAAAATTTTTAAAAGGGTGCCTTAA